CCAAAGTGATGGGTGTGGGGTGCAGTGACATTCCAGACTGATAGGCCATTGACAGTATGCAAACTACTACAGGTGTGGGGACTCCCTATCTCATCAATATTCATTGTGCAGGCCACTGACTTTGAGAAAAAGAGTGCCACTCTAAAGTTCTAACACTTTAGTAGTCAAACCACATAAAATTTCAGAATGTCTCTTTCACCTATGTGTAGCCAACCCCTGTGTCTATAAGCTTCAGAGCTCAAAAGTCTTGGCTAGAAATATCTATAGTGTGATTTTTTTACAATGTCTCAGCATGTCTGAAAATAGGTTTTTGAAAAGCATATGTTTAAAGTTGATTTTAACAAAAAATAGAATATAACATTTTCAGTGTGTAACGATCGGTCCGGGAAAGAGACAAGGATCCAGGTATGCAGGGCAAGTGGGCGTTTATTAGTGTGACAGGTAGAAGGCAGCGAGAGAAGGGGGTGAGCCGCCGGTAAGTTGCGGCTCGGAACCTCACGGAGCGAGAAAGAGGCGGGGTGAAGCCCCGGCTCCGGTGGAGCTGGTCGGAAGGAAGGGGATTGGCGTGCAGTACTTGTTGTCGGGGTCCACAAGCAGGGGTCGAAGCCGGGGAAGTCAGTCCAACGAAGACACACAAGACAGGAATACGGGGAAGCGGGCGGACGGGAGATGCCGGGCTCGACGGGTCAGGTGCAGGATCGGGACTGAGGAAGGAAGGTACAAGGGTAAGGAGCAGACACGGGGCTAACAGGCAGGATATGGAGAATTGGGGAGACGGAGGACAAGAGAAGTGCTCGGTAAGGCGTGGAATCATCAGCACAATACTTCGCACTGCAGAACTGGTGTATCTGCCTTTTAAAACGACGCTAATGGCTTCCGGATGGATTGCACCTGTCTGTCCCCACCCCCGGTGACGTGACACAGTGGTCTCAGATTACTGGTGCTGAGTTTGTGCTGAATAAAAGCAAATGTAACACTTTGGGATAAATGTGCTTTAGATAGGTGAAATATTTTAAAATGTCAAGGCATGTCAGACTACCCTAAAGGTGGCTGAAAGGCCACAGACTCCTGAGGATTAAGTGTTATATTGAATTGGGAATGCGATTGCCTGGGATTTGAACCCAGGACCTTTTGTACCAGAGGCAGGAATCATACCCCGGAACCAATGAGGTATGCAATAACCTCAGTAACCAATCATTTTCTGCAAGTTCACTTATTATGCAAAATCTTAACGAAAAGCAAGAGATATGTACCATCTCTGATCTCTCAACTTCCAGACACTAGTAAGTGACAACAATCCAAAGCCAACTTCTCTCTTTCTCTTCCATCACTTCCTTATTCTTCATGGCAATTTTTTGAAGAATAGCACCACCAAGTGACAGGTCCCTGTCACAATCTCACAAGTCAATAGGGAATGTCCCTAGGGAACATTTTTCAGATGAATGCTATGCATGAAATATGATTGTTATGAAATTAGGGCTGCAACTAATGACTACTTTGATAGTCGACTAGTCATCGACTATTAAAACGATTAGTCGACTAATCGGATTATAAATTGCATAATTATAAAATGGCTCCTATTTAGCTATACCAGCTTTTACATTTAGTATGAGGTTATTGTTTGACTTGAATGCCACAAAAAAAATGCCACAAAAAAACATACCAGAACGTGGACCACACTTGTTAGTAATGTTGCCTGATAACATTGCTGACCTTACACTTTCAAGATCGTTTTTCAGTGTTCTTCGCCTTGATGACAGCTTTCTCTCAGTTCCAGTTTTATTGTGGGATGAAACTCCATCATTTGTTGCTGCCAAAGAAGCTGTTCAAAATTTGGCTTGTGTGAACGACTGTGCTGAACGTGGTGTTGCGTTGATTCATGATTTTAGCGCATCAACAAAGGACGAAATACAAAAGCAGTACATGCTTCAAGTTGTTGAACAGCATAGACGTACCTTTCAGCAGTGTAACCTAAGTGAACTGCACAGCATGTAATCTGACTAGTGACTAGGCTACTACTAGTGACTTCTGTTCTGTGTTACTTATGTAATTTGCCAGTTTGTCACACTGAGTGATTACAGTGATCAGCGTTCAGCATTAAAGAAGCAGAAGTGATGTCATTTTGTTTTAAGTTTAATTAAATTGCCTTACTTTTGTTACAATGCACTGTAAATGTATTTGTGAGTTTCACCTTGTTACTGAAATAAAAACTTATAAGGTCACGAACATTGCGAATTATTTCAATTTCAGCGGTATTTTACGAATCTTTGCAGCTCTTGTGCCACCTCTAAATGAAGTCCGATTGAGCTGAAATTTTATATGTGAGTACAACTTACCAAAAGGAAACTTTTTAGGGGGTGTCACTTTGATTTTTAAAAAAAATATTTTTTTTGGGACACCCTAACTACTAGCCTATTATTATGCCCTATTATTATTATTATTATTATTGGATACGCCAGGCAACAGAAGCCCGTGCCATTCACCCTTTTGCAGATTTCATCTTTGTTTTGGGACATTAAAATCCTTTGAGACTGATGTGGCACTAAATGCTGGGGAATTATTTTCTCCTTACTATGAAGTTTGGCATCTTAAACTTGGGAAGTAGCTTGCAGCCTGTAGGCTACTCGGCAGCCGTCAATATTTAAGCGAACTGCCGAAACCATAATGTTTATTGTTATTTTTAGGAAGAATAATTTAATCGTAATTAAACAAAAGATATACAGCCTTTCCAGCCCCCCCCCATTTTTTCCTTCGGATCTACATAAATCTCATTATTAACCTTTGGTGCACTCAGTTGACGGAAATCCATCATAGCGATGGAAAACTTTAATCCATGTGTCCCAGACTTTACAGCGTTTAATACGCGATGATGCCTGATTTGTGGCCACCATTCTTCTACCTGTCGCTGAATGCTATTGCGCGAGAGTAAATCTCACCAGTGTCGCGTATTGATGCAGTCTATTGGAAAGCGGCAGTATTGCACAGGTAGAAAGGGAAACGTCTCACTCCGTTTAAAAATACGTCTGGCGACAATTATCGACAATAAAATTTGTCGGCAACTATTTTTATTGTCGATTTTTGTCGACAATGTCGAATAATCGTTGCACCCCTATATGAAATATGTCTCATTTACTTTCATATTTGTTCAGACTGTCAATTATGTCAATCTGTCACGCCCCGCTCCGTCCGCTCCCGATGTGTGCCACGCCCACCTCGTTACCTCGTGTGATTCCCTGATTGTCTCTTACCTGTGATTCGTTACCCTTAGCCTGTGTCTTGTATTTAGTCCGTGTCTAAGTCAGTGTACCCGAGATCTGTCATTGTTGTATAGTCCGTCGATGTCCGTACCTGTCCTTCTGCCTCTAAATAAACCCTTTTACCGGACTTCCTGGCTTCGCTCGCCTGCTTCCTTGCTCGCACTCCCCACCGAAGCTGACACAATCCTTTGAGTAGTTTATTTTTAATCAACCCCCAGTTTAACTGCCAAGTGATTTCATCCATGTTATTGTCACCCTCCCCACACACAAACTGATTTAAATCTTCAGTAAATTAATATATCCAATAGGTACCAATTTAGCATTTGCATAACTTTAATAATACTTTAAAATAGCAGAGTATTTTATAAAACATTTTAAATAAATACCAACAATAAATTTGTATAAAAATACAATACTTTCTATATTGTTATTGTAAAAGTAAACAGCCCTTTCCCAGAGGAACATTTCTTTTCCACTGAAGTTCCATTGTCTTAAACACAGTTTTGTATTTAAATCTCATAATAAATTATATCTGGCTTAGCAATAGAGCCTAGTTACATATCATGACCACACTGAAATAAAAAATATCAAATATTGTATAACCCATTATAAGTAACAAACAGAAATTAGGTTGCCCTCTGCAAAATTCAAATTAATAAAGCAGCTTGGATGAGACACAATGACCTTAGTGTTCATTTTTGTAATACAGCCATCCATTTTCTGAAACTGCTCATCCCATTCAGGGTCATGGGGGTCCTATCCCAGAGGCTACAGGCACAATGGCAGGAAACAACCCAGGATGGGGTGCCAACTTAATGCAGGGCACACTCACAGCTATAGGCAATTTGTTAACTTCAATTAGCCTCAGCATGTTTTTGGACTGTGGGAGGAAACCAGAGTACCCAGTGAAAACCCCACAATGACAAAGGGAAAACATGCAAACTCCACACACATGGAACCCGGCTGGAGTCTTGAACCCAGTGGCCTGTACTACGAAGCGGGGTTACTGGCTTATCGGGGTAACTTGTCGGATTTAAGGTAGTCTGGGCAAAATGTAAGTGAACGAATATGAAGTCCATTTAAACTGTGGTACCTTAAATCCGACAAGTTACCCCGATAAGCCAGTAACACCACTTCATAGTACAGGCCACAGGTCTCAGAGTTACAAGGTGACAGTGCTAACCACTGCGCCACCATGCTACCCATTTTCAGAATCCTAAACACAATTCTGTAACAGCACTTGGAATTTAGATTCATATGATTTAATAATGTAATAATCTGACAAAAGTGATCTTTAGAGATCTAGTATGAATATAAATTATGCTGAACTAAATTTTTCTCCACTGACAATGGCCATTTTTAGAGTAATACTCATCGATTGCTTTCAAAATACTTAATATTTACATTAACCTTGCAGGTATGTCAGTTTTCTTAATTGCTACATTACAAAAAGTCTTCATAGCTATGTAGTATTGTGACTATAGTAAGACATACTGCCAAATTCCCATTTTTTCCATTGACAATAATAATCAACACTGGGTAAAATTAGAAAAAATATATCGTTTTGTTCATAAAACAAGTGAAAGACAATAATAATAATAATAATACTTTATTAATCCCCGTGGGGAAATTGTCTTTACACCTCCCTCAACTTGCTCTTTGTAGAGTTTTCTGTGACAACTTACTATTAGTGATATACATGTAAATAATTTCACCCTGTGTGCAGTTTGAAATTAAAATACACAACAAATTTCAGGAAGGTAAGAGCACCAGTTCAGCATTTGCATAGCTCCTGTAAGCTGTTATGTGTCAGTAAATATGTATCACTTTCACAAAGGTAACAGAACTGAAGAACATAAGAAATTTACAAAAGAGAGGAGACCATTCGGCCCATCAAGATTGTTTGGGGAGAACTTAATTAATAGCTTGGAGTTATTAAAATCTTATCTAGCTCTGATTTAAAGGAACCCAGGGTTTCAGCTTGCGCTACACTAACAGGAAGACTATTCCAACTACACGCTTTGTAAAGAAGTGCTTCCTCAAATTCATTTTTAAATGTTCTCCAGCTAGTTTCCATTTACGGCCAGGAGTTCTAGTATTTAAACTAATATTGAAATAGCCATTTGGTTGAACAGCATCCAGACCTGTTAGAATCTTGATACACCTGGATCATGTCTCCTCTTAGTCTCCTTTGCTTGAGGCTAAACAGATTCAGCTCAGCTAACCTCTCCTCATAAGACATACCTCTAAGACCAGGAATCATTCTCGTAGCTCTTCGTGGCACCTTTTCTAAGGCAGCAATGTCCTTCTTAAGGTATGGTTACTGCCATCCCACCCACAGTACAATCTCACTCTTCTCTCCACTACTTCACATGAAGAAAACATGAAAACTCTTGCATGCTATGCAAACATCACTGTCCATATAAAAACAAAACAAAAAATTCACATTACACATAGTCAATTCGTTTTGGCCCATTGATATATCTCGTAAAAAAAGGTGTGTGTTAAAGAATATATTACATGGTAAGCTAACATTTGGTACTTATAGTAGAAATGTTGAATGCAGAAGAAATGGACTGGGATAAAGAACTGAGTGACTTTTACAACAACCAAATCATTTTGCTCAGATGAGTGGATCAGACCATCTCCAAAATGGCAAGGGAGTTATGTATAACGTCACAAAGGGGATCCAATAAAACTACAATTATTTAACACAGTCCTGAATTAATACTGAAGATGGATTCAGGCTTATGAAAAGACTGACTACATAACGGCTGTTAAAAATTATAAGGATTGCAAGAAAGTCTAAAAAATATATATATTACGGCCAAACTCAGGACCATGGACTGTCCTGATGAGTCCTCAGCTGTTTGTACACATAAAATTCCTACAACTTGTGGCATCAAGAACTGGATGAGTATTTATTGTAACAGTGACTCTGTCGGGATAACCTGGCACTGTGTTTTTTTTGGGTTCCAGTAGTCATGGTGGAGACAGACCAGCTGTCAGCTGCCACTTGGAGTTAGAGGACCCATCTAGGTGCCTATACCTTACTGCACAATGAGGAAAAATACAAAAAGGGTAGTATTATACATTGTTAGTAATATACAGGATAAAACAAAAATTTTCAAAGGACAAAGTAGTTTGATTTTATTAACACAACACAGATACAGGTAGTGAATAGTAAATGAATGCAGAACACCATCGCTATGTATCTTTGTAGGAAGGACTTACACGAGAATGCGAGGTAGCCCTGCCCCGCCCTGTCAGCACCCTACCATGGGCACGACCCCCCCGACTTGACTGCTCTTGGTGGAACTCCAGGTCCTCCAGCCTTTGGGTCAAGGCTAGCTTCTGCTGGATAGCCATACGCAGCAGCAAGTTCAGGGTCTTCTTCTCCTCCTCCGCTGCTGCCAGCTGGCGCTGCAACTCATCCACCTGAGCGACATATTCATCGCATCTGGAGTACAAATATGACAGGGCACACGTGAACAGAAGTACAGATACACATACCTTTTTCCATACTGATTTATTGTATACCATTCCATATGCATAAACATGGTCACAGATCAAACACACATGACCATTACATCAAGAGTTACACACAGATGCATATCATTATTTAGACTGAACAGCATGGTTAAGATTCTTATAAAAATCTCTTCAACTGAATATGGCACTTACTGTGTGTTCTTAATATGCTTCTGCTATCAACAGCCCAGACTACAAGACAGTCATGCACTTACCGTGTTGCGAACATGGCTCGGAGTGAAGAGAAGGTGGCGGCGTCCTCCTTCAAGGCCTTCAACTCTTGGCGTAACTTTGTCATGGTCTCTGTCACCATTGCCTTCTCGGTCTCATACTTGCTCTTCAGACTAGCTAGGGCCACCTCAGCAGTCTAAGTGGTCAAAAGCTGCACTTCAGGTAGGCAGTGCCCCAGCCAGCAAACCAATCAATCAACAGAACTTCCTTGGATTTGACTTCAGACCCCCTGTGACCTATAGCCTTATAATGATTATCCGGCTAAAGCTGTCCCAAAAGTTCCTTTATGATTATTGACCTTCAGAATAACCAATGACTTACCCACACGTGGCTTGGGTATAATCTTTTGTCTTGACAAAAATCAACATTAAATGAGATATAGAGCATGCAATACCAGCTTCCTTGATAGACACATCTATGACACCATCCCCACAATCTCCACCATCCTGTTTTGTGTCATTATGAGCTACCTGAAGGTCATACTTCCTCATCCTCACCTGCTTGTTAGCCTTCAGAACAGCCCGCAATGTGGCTATCTGCTCACGCTTGGTGCTCAGCAGAGCCTTGAGCTTGAGCATCTCCTCCATGCAGGCTTCCTGGTCCCAATCTGCTGGCAGACACGCCCCTGACTCTGCTCCCCATTGATGGGACATCTCCACAGCACGGTCCACGGCTTGCTGGAGGTGCTTCAGCTGCTTCCGGATGATAGCACCCAGGTTGTACACATCCGAAGGCTCATTCTGTGAGTTTGGATCAGGTTCTGAGGCCTGGCTGCTGGCCCCACACTGTCTGTAAAAGTCCAGCGTGACACGGCTTGGGGTCTCATTGTTGGACATACACACATGGTGATAAAGGCTGGCTAGCTCTTCACTGAAGGCAGCCATCTCCTCTTGGGCCACACTGAGGTTACCATGCCACTCTCTCGCCTCCCTGCTAATGCGCTCCAGCTCTTGTGCCAGATGTGTTGCTTCCTTATGGCCTGAGCGGTTACTCTCCTCTAGGCTTGACAACCTCCCTGTCAACATTTGCACCTGGGCCTTAAGCTCGATCCTCTCCTTCTCAAACTGGGCCTGCTCGTCCCGGTGTCTGGCCTGCAGTCCCTCCAACTCCTCTCTCAGCTCCCCAACTTCTGCTGCTGCCAGCTGGTACTTGCACGCCAGGATCTCAGGCCCGTCAAAGTCCAGGTCATAGTCACTGAATTCCTGCTGGTTGTCAAGCTCTAGCTCTTCATCAGCTATCCTCTTTTGACTTCTGCTTGCCTGAAGTTTCCTCATGGCACTAAGAGTCTCCTGTAGGCGGCACACATGCTCCTGTTTCTCAGCTAGATCCTGCTGGGTATGCTTGAGCTGGACCTGGGCCTCCTGCAGTGAGATCACGAGGGCCCCTTTCTCCCTCTCCACCTGCAGTACACAGGAAACCATTCAGCCCTCTGGTGTTTTCACAACTGACTAACCAGGCATGGCCCAAGGAGTGGAAGCTGGCTAAGGACATACCTGCAGGAGCTGCTGGTTCACCTTCTGGATTTCGGAGATGCTGAGCTCATTCAGTAGCTCATCCACCAAACTTGGGGCAGGGCGGAAGCGCCCATCATCTACCATTGTGTCTTCAGCACGGTTCGCTGGCGTGCTACCGCTGCTGTCATGGGCATCAGGTGATTCCTCAGCATTGGCCTTGAGCCCATCTAGGGGCAAGTTCAGGGAACATGGGGACACAGAACTGGCACCCAGATGCTGGGAAAGCTCTTTGCGCAGCACAGCCTTCTGCTCACGCTCTGAGGAGATTGTCTCCAGAGCCTCAGCCAGCTGCCGCTCAGTGATCTCATTCAGCTGTACGGCACTCTCTAGCTGACCATTCAGAAACTGAAGGTCCTCCTCTAACCTCCGGGTCTCATGCTTCAAGCCCTCAAACTCGACCTAGAAAGAGGTGATAGGCCAGACTAGAAAATGGTTAAAGTATTATGGGCTTTGGAAACCACATTATTAGTTTATACATGAAAAAAGAAACCTTTCTTGGCAACAACATAAAGCACAACTTAACTACCTAAAGGGATTTAGGTTGGAGTAACCTCACTAAAAATCTGCAAATGCATTTGTAAGAATAGCAGGCAAATGTATCTGCCTTTAGACCAAAAAAATCCATGCTGATACAACAGACTTTAGCTGTCCTGATGTATCTTTAGGACCAAAAGCTTGCAACTCTGCCCATATCTGTGCTCACCTGATTCTGCTTAAGGAGTGACACCTGCTTCTGCAGGCAAATGTTCTCCTCCTCTAGCTCTGTGAAATCCTGCTGCAGTCGGCCCTCCCGGGACTTGCATTCCTTGATTTCATCGCGCAGTCGACTGCGCTGCATATCACCCACTTGGTTGATCTGGAGAGAGGGAGAGCAAACCAAGTCTGGAGAGGATACAAGGGCAAATGTGGCATAGTGATGATGCAGACATTTTAGTTATGGAATGAAACTTGGAGGAAAAGAACATTGGGCCTCATTCACCAACCGTTCTTACGAACAAATTTGTTCTTAAACCACACGTATGCACTTTTTTTTACAAAGATTCTGACATTCACCAATGTTTTCTTATCTGAATTTGTTCTTAGCTAAGAACAGAATCTACACACACTCAAGACCATACGTACGAACATTTCAGTAATGATATTTTGTTCAAAATAATCGGTTATAGCAGTTTTGTTCATTCTACAGTTCATAAAATGATAGTATTTGAATAATTTATAAAAGTAAAATGTAAAAAATAATAATAATAAAGTGTAAAAATTATTTTCATGGTAGTAACGGTGATCATGCAGATTATAAATAGGTCTGTTTCTGTGCATTAGCCTTGCTATCAAAATGGCATTTTTGTTACTTCTTGAAGAGCTTGCCAATCATGCTCTGAGAATGGAACGCACATTTTAACATCATTTAGATTTATTTGGCACACAGCGTTCACAGAGAAGGTGATATCTTTCCATGTATCAGCTTTCTTGGGGGCTTTATATCCACTGGTTACGCTACTAAATAACATGTGTCTATTTGCATTTACCTCCTGTACAGTAAAATCCAGTTATAACAGACTTCAAGGGACCTGGCAAAACAGTCCGTTATATCCAAAGTCCGTTATATCCAGAGTTGCTGTATGCCCAGAACACAACTACAGGACACCATTTACTCATGCCACACTCCAGCAGACACACTTGTGGTATAGATTATTATATTGTATATGTAGTAATCCAACTTTACCTGACCAGATGCGTTACTATTAATAATCCCGACTACGTATCTGTGTATCACCGCCATGCCATGCGCCTTGTAGGTGGAGCCTGTATGTCCGTTATAGCAAAACAAAACTACAGCTAAAAGCAGCCCTGGGGACCAAGATGTTTGTCCGTTATAAGCGAAATTCCGTTATATGCGAGTCTGCTATATCCGATGCTTGTTCTGCATGTTCTTAAAGGCGCACAGCCGGACCAGCGGACCTCGTCCGTTATAGGCGATATTCAGTTATAAACGAGTCCACTATAACGGGATTTTGTATTAATACTTCTACTTCAGCATCACTGAAGTTTTTTTTCCTTAGTGCCAAGCGGCTCACAGCCTGCGCATCTCTTTGCCATTCCTTGCACATGACCCTAATGTCTCATGCCCTTTTATGGGAAATTGCTGGGCGTTTCCCTATGCTAATTAGGGCAAACTGGCACGCGCTCAGTTACGAAGATGTGGGATTCACCATTCTTAAGAACAAAGGTGCGAACAGTTCTGCTACTTAAGAACACGTCATGAATCTGACGTAAGTTGTTAACAAATTTTGTAGGAACCAATTTAAGAGAATTCTTAAGAAAATATTGGTGAATGAGGCCCATTGTGCAGTTGTACAAAAGAGAATGTGTATTTTTGGTCATAGGGAATTACAGTGTTAAAAAAGTGATGCATTTTACGGTTACAAAGAGTCTATGTACTATATACAAAAAAATGTACTATCATGTGACACAATCCAAACAACTTGGTTCTGAAGGTTAGACGAGTGCATTCCCACAACCTTTCGGCAACACTGAAGGGAGACTATGATGTCCACCATGAATAAAGGACAGATTCATGATTGGCTGAACATTAATATCTCAGTGATATTTACTGTATCAGCTCAGACAAGGTGGTACAGAAATGAGCACAGCTGACTAGATGCCAATAGAGAATTTGAGACACCCTTACGAGGAGAATATCCAGTTCCGGTGACATTTACATCAGACTTTTAAAAAGATTATTGGCTGAATACAAGTATCTGTTGACTTACATCCCATCGAGTAACATCCAATCGTCTTTATGTCCAAGGTCCACAGTATGTTTTATGAACTGTTTGAGTGACGCCTGAAAGCGGACGCAGTAGGACATAAGCAGGTACATTGCTTACTGTAACAAGCGCAAGAGAATGGGCAGCACTACATCCCATAATAACATATGTGACCCCTGTCCAAATTTAACCTGCAATACAGTATGTACATATAGAAATGTATACGTGATGGATTGCTTCAATAAGCAGAACAAGTGCAGTACAAGTACTGTATCTATTTCATTACATAAAAAGAAACCTACTGTACAATAAAATATTTCACCGCAGTTTTGAGCAGTCTTCCTTCTCGGCTTGGCACGCATCTTTTCATTTTGTAGTGCAATTTGCAGTGTTGGTAGTAACGTGTTACTATAATTCCACTACTGTCGGCTGTAATGAGTAATGTAACTAATTACATTCTCAAATCAAATAACGCAATGAAAAGTACTGAAATTTAAATGGGTTCGTTATTTGTTACTTTTGTCTTGCGTGAACATATTAATGGATAAATGCAAGCTATTCCCCTAATAATCTGTTTATGATCTAATGTGATCAGACTTTACTGTGCCGTAATGAATGGATGATATTATAGGTAAAGTGATAATACAACTGTCAAATTTTATCTGTCTCGCACTGTTACAGCAGCAACACTACAACAATACAACTATCCAGAGAGCACACATGCATTGGCACAATATCACCGCAATACTTGAAAAATACATTGTTACCGAACATTTAATTATAACATCCCCCTGATGGTTGTGCAATGTATTTCAACAGCAACACAATGTTAATGAGCTCAATATACCATGTTTACCCTACTGTTATTTTTCCTAATTAGGCTATTTAACCCACAATAGGTTTATACTATATATGTTTATATTGTATAGGGTAGATATGTTCTGTTTACCCCAAATGAAGGCATACTGTTTCTAAATGGATACGATCTTAAAGCAATGTCTTGGCGACGTGTGTGCTGTCCAGGTATGCATGCATTCATAAAAGAGTTGAAAAGTTACTTTCCCTGGTAACTAATTTTACAGTTAGTTCCTACCAAGACATGTGACTGGACAAGAGGGGTCTATGAGTACGGTTATCAGAGTATAACTGCACTCGGACATTTCACATTAGCTGTATCACTCTGCTTTTAGATTAGATTAGATTAGATTAGATTGACTTTATTAATCCCACAATGGGGAAATTCTTTAGAAACAGCAGCAATAATGAAAAAGACAGTAAAAAAAGAAAGTATAACAGGATCCATAGGATCAGCAAAAAATAACAATATTGTCACGTTCGTGGACGAGCGGTGCAGGTAGGCAGGCGATCGGAGCCAGGTAGTCAGGGAAACGGGGTTTATTTAGGGAGGGACGAACAGGCACGGACATCAACGGACACTACAATGACAAGTCTGGGGAAGACTGACTCAGACGAGGACTAAATACAAAAGACAAGCTAGACTTAATAGGACACAGGCGATCGCAATCAGGGCTGAACACGAGGTAACGAGGTGGGCGTGGCACACATTAGGATCGAACGGAGCAGGGTGTGACAAATATAGACAATAAAAACAATTTCTAAAACTGTATAAATATATAAGTAAAAATATAAAGAAAAAAAGAAACATATACACAATGCTTGGTATATGGATAAACAGCTGCTGAATAAATATATGCATACATATATATATATATATATACATACATACATACAGTTGAAACCAAAAGTTTACATACACTGTATAAAAAGACATATAACTTTTTTTTTTCTTACTGTCTGATATTAAATCATACAAAACCCTTTCAGTTTTAGGCCCGTTCGGATTCCCAAAATAATTTCTATTTGCTAAATGTCAAAATAATGTGTGAGAGAATTTTTTAGAGATTTTTTTATTACTTTCTTCAAAGTCAAAAGTTTACATACATTTGCTTAGTATTTGGTAGAATTGCCTTTAAACTGAATGACTTGACGTAAACGCTTTGGGTTCCTTCCACAAGCTTCTCACAACAGTTTAATGGAATTTTGGCCCATTCCTCCTGACAGAACTGGTGTAATTGAGTCAGGTTTGTAGGCCGCCTTGCTCTCACACGTCTTTTCAGCTCTGACCACAAATTTTCTATGGGATTAAGATCAGGGCTTTGTGATGGCCACTCCAAAACATTGACTTTGTTGTCCTTAAGCCACTCTGTAACCAATTTTGCAGTATGCTTAGGGTCATTGTCCATTTGGAAGACCCATTTGCGCCCAAGCTTTAACTTCCTGGCTGATGTCTTGAGATGCTGCTTCAATATTTCAACATACTGTTCTTTCTTCATGATGCCATCTATTTTGTGAAGTGCACCAGTCCCTCCTGCAGCAAAACACCCCCACAACATGATGCTGCCACCTCCGTACTTCACAGTTGGGATGGTGTTCTCAGGCTTGAAGGTTTTCCTCCTTTTTCCTCCAAATATGACGATGGTCATTATGGCCAAACATTTTTGTTTCGTCAGACCACAGGACATGTCTCCAGAAATTAGGGTCTTTGTCCCTGTGTGTATTTGCAAAGTGTAATCTGGCTTTTTTATGTCGCTTTTGGAGTAATGGCTTTTTCCTCGCTGAGTAGCCTTTCAGCGCATGTCGGTACAGGACTCGTTTCACTGTGGATAGTGATACACTCTTACCAGCTTCAGCCAGCATCTTCGCAAGGTCTTTTGCTTTTGTTCTGGGATTGATACGCACATTCCGCACCAAAACACATTCATCTCTTGAACTCAGGATGCCGTCTCCTTCCTGAGCGGTATGATGGCTGGACATTCCCATGTTGTTTATAATTGCGTATAATTGTTTGAACAGATGAACGTGGCACCTTCAGGCATCTGGAAATTGCTCCCAAGGATGAACCAGTCTTGTGGAGGTCCACAATTCTCATCCTGATGTCTTGGCTGATTTCTTTAGACTTTCCCATGGTGTCACAAAAGGATATGGAGGGAAATCCCGGACATTTTTCAAAAGGAATTGCAAATTGCATTTGCAGTTGCATTTTCCATATGTGGACGCATAAAGTGTGACATAATTGAAATGCAATTGCAAATTTTGCATTAACGTTTGCTTTTTCGCTTTCGCGAACGAACACTGACTGCCACATTTTAAAGGAAAAAGCAAAGTCCATTTGCAATTGCATTTCCCATGTCTAACAAGGGAAATCCCGGACATTTTTCAAAAGGAATTGCAAATTGTATTTGCAATTGCATTTCCCATGTCTTACAAGGGAAATCCCGGACATTTTTCAAAAGGAATTGCAAATTGTATTTGCA